CTAGTGTTGCCCAGACTCCTACAAGCTGCTGCAGAAAGAGGAAGGAGAACAGAATTGGTGGCAGTGAGAACATCTTCATCAGGCAATCCTTTTTGTGCTCTTTCTGGCTGCAGTATACTCTGGTGCTTTTAATCCATTATGTAATCTGTGGTTTAGAACTGCTCCTACTCCATAAGGAGCAGCATTGCAGGCCAACCCTAAAGGCAGTTTTTCATCATACTGGATTAGCATGCTTTTAGACGCCAGGAAGCTTTTGACAGCTCTGAATGCAGCGGGTTCTCTTTGTCCCCAGAGCCAGTGTGATTTAGAGTCTAACAACCTATGCAATGGCTCAGCCACTGCGGGGCAGAAAGATGCTGTAAAAATTGAGGAGTCCTAGGAAAGCTTCTTATCTAACTTTGTCTTATTCCTTGGTACTGGTGCGCTTTGAATAGCTTGAGGCATCTATTAAGTACCCCAAAAACTGTACCCTGGGGACTGCTATGTGGCATTTTTCCTTTTTTAATTTCAACTGAGCATCCTTGAACTTCCGAAGGACTGCCCTGAAGCGCTCCTGGATCTCACTGCGAATTTCTACAGATACTGGGATGTGATCAAAATAAGGGATGATGCCCAGTGTTACTTGAAGCAGCCTCTCCATTAAGCTCTGGGATATCCCAGGGGCTACACTTACACTAAATTGGAGTATGGCACTTAAAGGCCCCTTTATGTGTGACAATATTTTGGGCTTCAGCAGTTTCTTTGTCCATAGGAAGCTGCTGATAAGCCTGGGCTAAATCTAATTTAGCAAAGATTTTCCCATTGCCAGGGGAATGTAGTAAGTGTTGGACAACAGGGACCTGATAGGCACTTTATTGTAGGGCCTGATTGAGGATGCATTGATAATCTGCACAGATCCTCATTGACCCATCTGGTTTTATAGGGAGGTTTCCCACTTTGTGTGGTCCATTGGTTCTAATATTCCTTGCTTTAACTTCAATCTCAGCATCCACCTTTGGCCTTAAGGCAAAAGGTCCAAATTGCGGCTTTAACCGAACAGGTGCCACCTGGGGATCTAAGTTAAAAGGTATGAGGTTGCCAGCATACTCACCCAGGCCGTCTTCAAAAACACTGGCCAATTCTTTGGCTAGCAATGATACCTCAGCATTGCTGACTGAATGAATGCCTGACATGCTTCGTCACAATGCTTTGAATTACTCTGGCCCTAAAAGGCTGGGGAAGGACCCATCGACTATTATAAGGGGAAGGTGTCTTTTGAATTTTTTTAATTCAACTCACATTGTGGTCTTTCCTAGGATAGGGATCCCTTGATAGTCCCTCAGCCTGTGCTGACAAGGCCTGAGTTGAGTCTTGGCTAATTTGTGCACTCACCGTTTGATAGTGCTCCAGAATACTAGAAACATTGCTGACCCTGTTTCTACCTCCATCCTGCATGGAGCAACTTCAATCCTGAAAGTTAAATGTATTTTCTTATTAAATCCCAGAATGGCTTGACTAATGGTAGATTCTCTAGGGTTATTGCTTTTTCTAATAGTTAAATAATTCTCACTTCTTTTGTTGGGGTTGTAAAATACCTTTTTTTACATAAGGAGTCTGAGATGAAGGAGCAGCTGATGGCTGGGTGGCCCTACAAACTCTGGCCAAGTGCTCCTTTTTACCACATCTCAGGCATGCAGTATTTTTAAATTTGCAGGCTGAACGTGGGTGACTTCTGCCACAGCCTATGCACACATTCTGCATTTTTGCCCTGTCTCTAGCCCCAGGCCTATCATTGGTTGTCTTGAGGTGGTCGATGTCATCATTGTCCTTGGTCTCTTCCTCCTGTTCTGCATCTTTCTGTTGAATGGTGCTTGTTTTTTTAGCAATGTTGGACTATCCTTTCTTTGAATTTCAGCTGTGGAGAGGTTTGACAACTCCAAAGTGCACGCTTCATCCAATGCTGACTAGAGTGTAATCTCCATATCTCCATTTTTGCCAGCAATTGGAGCTGCAATCGAAGGTCCAGAACTCCACACACTAATCTATCTAGCAAAGTGTCATCTAGCTCTCTAAAGTCAGAATAGAATGGCTGATCTGAGGACTGCCATGAACTGACTTATAGTTTCGCTCTTACCCTGGTTCCTATGGTGGAAGGCATGTCGGCATGCTATTCTGGAAGGCAGTGGTGTGTAATCCCCCTTCAATTTTCTCATTAATGTCTCCCAGAATACCTGATGCACTGTCTGTGGAGCTAATAGAGCCATCACTGTGATGAACATTTCGGGGCCACGGTGAGTCAAAAACGAAGCCATTTTTTGGCTGCCTGAAATGTTTCCCAGACATTTCCTTCCAGAAAGCACTCAAATCTCACAATAACTCGGACGCCTGGTTGAAAGCAGTGAAGGCATTTATAGCTGCCATTCTTCTCAGATCATGACTCTCTGGGTGGCTGCAGTTTCTGAATTTAGGCATTTAGCATGACCTCTCATTGTGAGCGTTTCAGCTCCCCATCAGTGACAGCTCAGCTCTTCGTGACTTTGCTCAGTTCTTTGTGACTTCGCTCGCATCTATCGCCTCAGCCTTGGCATCCCATCCTC